TTCTATAGGTTCATTCTCTGGAACTTTCAGATCTTTTAATCTTTGAATTGCTATGCTTTTATAACTCAGTATATAAAGCAAAACAGTGTAATTAAGCCATGTAAGCTGAGGAAATTTTACAATTTTAGAAAAACATTAAGAACACTTGATAGCAAGATGAAAAAACTTTAAAATATAGGTTTGTAAGAAACAAATCAAGCATTTGCATTAAGTGCTAAAGAAATTGTTCAAATTCTTGATCATAAAAAAATACAAATTGATACTAACAAAGGTTTGGTAAAATGGGTATTTTTTTGGCTATCTCTTCTTTGTGGTATTTGTAGTAGTAATGCTAAAAGAATAAACTTTAAGGATATATCATGTTGTGATAATGGTGAACTTTATTTAACATTCAATCATGAGAAAAATAATCAACATGAAGCATTAAAATACAATAAATATAGAAAAAGCTTTGCATAAAAGATTTCTATTTTACCTAATGATGCTAATAATCATTTTAAACTCATGCAAGATATATTATATATAATATCATTACATCTTATAGGTTTTTGTATATCACTTTTTTTAGAAACTATATGAGCAATAAAAGGTTTAAATTATTATAAATTTAAATTTTTTTTTTCTATTATATTACTAATGTTTTTTTGTTGCTAGATATTAATAAAAGAATTTGGTTCAAAAAATCTAGATAGATATAAACAAGTTGAACACAATGATAGTGAAAATAGCTGAGCTCACAGGCATTAATCTTGATAATAGTTGAAAGATCAGTAACTATTCTCTACAGTGTATAGCAATTCAAAGATTAAAAGATCTGAAAGTTCCAGAGAATGAACCTATAGAATTTTCTGAACATCATAGTCAAAAAGAAATTCATGCATATAGTAGTGCAAATGACAGTTAAAGGCTCAGGAATACATCAATATTAATTCTTCTAGATTTTGATAATATTTTATATGAAGAATTTAATTATTTTTCTAAAGATGCTAAAAATTATTTGGATTTCAAAGAAGATGACTATAATAAAGTATTTGTAAATTTTATTATTTAATTATTTATATGCATATTTTTAATTAATATATTTTTGCATTACTATTTATAATCATATATAAATTAGAACTATTACCAGAAGCATTTCTAGAACTACTATCAGAAACACTATCTGAATTATCACCTGAAGTACTACCTGAAACACTACCTGAAGTATTATCTGAAACACTACCTAAAACACTATCTGAAATATTTCCTAAACTATTGCAAAAACTATTGCAAAGACAATCATCAAAACTATTGCAATAAAAATCAGCAAAACTATCACATATGTCAAAATTGTATGCACCATTCAAGCCACTTTTCAAAAAGTCAAATATCTAACGTTCAAGTGTTTTTTAAACTTCAGAAATTTCCAAGCCATCATATATTCCTTACCTTTTATCATCAGAACCTTCTATACAACTAAGATTATATTTGGATAATATTTCTAATCACATTACACCTCTACAACTAAGATTACATTTGGGTAATATTTCTAATTACATTACATTTTTAATTTATAAAAACATTAAAGATAGTGAAAGTAAAATGAATAATAGAGAAATTCATTACCATTTCTACTACCATTTTTAAAAAAAATGTATTTTTTTTAAAATATAAATTTTTATTTTATTAAAATAAATAATTTATTATATATTTGCAATTTTAAAAGAATCAGTCTTATAAGTATTTTTGACAAGGTTATTTCAATCAGTCTATATAAAAATTATATGATTTTCATATAAACTTATGAAAATAACTTTGTTAAAAAAGCACAGGTTGTTACATAGTACCCATGGAATAATTTTTTTAATTCATCTTAACAACAGTTTCTTGAAAATAGTCTTCTTAATACATCATTATCTTAACTTCTTTTTCTATCTTAACCTAGTTTTTTTTTATCTTAATTTATATTAACAACTCTTCTAATCTATCTGTTAATATAATACAACAAGCTTTACAAACTGCTGTACAAGCTATAACTAATCTTACTACTGCCTTGCAAAAAAGTAAAAAATCTTTTTTAAAAGCTAACTTTTTTTATAATAATAAAACTCAAGATCTAGAACAATAGTTTAAAAATTTTTGAAGAGCTGCTACTGCTAACAAATAGAATACTATTCAAAAGCTTGAACTTGCCTCAATATATTTAAAAAAAATTATATTAAATTAATAACAAAGTCTTAATCTACTCTTAATTGCTTTTGATTATAATGCTAACTAAGCAAGAAGTTTTAAATATCTTTTTAAAGATTTTTAAACAAAATACTATTTGGCAAAAACAGCTTTTTAATACTAAACAAAATACAAACACAGTTAACATATATATTAATTGCTTTAAACAGCTAAAAAAACAAATTTATTTTAAAGATGCATCTATCTCTTGTTGACTTTATTAAACAACTATTTATTTAAGAACTATAATCTGAATTTTTTATAATTAATAAGCTAAAAAACCTGCCAATTTGAATGCTATTATTATTACTATAAAATAATGAAAAACTGAACATATAATAGTCTTTAATACTATTACAAAAACAGATCAAACTATTAAACAACTAACAGATTAGATTGCCAAACTCAGTATCAACTTAGCTTAACAATAACAACTACTTTAACCTCAACCTATCAATTATATAATTACATTTAACACCAACAAATCTCAAACTAAAAATTATTACTACTATTATTATTGTGAACAAACTAAATATTTGATTGCTAAATATAGAACTAGACAAGCAAAAAAATGATCTAATCAAAGAGATAATTATAGAAGAAATAATTAATGCAGTCAAAGATCTTGTTCTTATAATTGTAATAAGTCTTATTATTAAAACTCTTTTAGAAAAAGAGGAAGCTCTAAAAAAAGAAGCAGATATTCTAACTTATATAATAGTAACAGAAGAAGAACTAGTTTTTGACTATTACAGAGATGTTAACTATCTTATTTATATAGATTCTTCTTTTACTTATTCTGTTACTATATTAAAGAAATAAAAACAATTTCTTAACAACTCTTTTATTTATATAGCTATATCTGCATACTTATATAAAGAAGTCAAAAATTCTAACTTAGTTCAATCATCTATTTATACTACTTTTATAAAATATAACATTCAATCTAGAAACAGACTTTACTAAGTTATTATAGACAGTAGTACTGCTATTAGCATAATTGCTTATCAGACTGTTAAAAAATTAGAACTTAAAATCAAACAGGCCTCTATTAGTCTAATTATTATAGCTACTAATACTTTTATATGCTTTTTAGAAATTATTAAAAACTTTTCTATAAAAATTAAAAAAATAACTATTTTAATTACTATTAAAGTTGTTTCTGCTACTTTTTACTTTCTTTTTCTTAGTAATGACTAGTTCAAGAAAGTTGATGCTAGTTATAATTAGAATAATAACTGTTATTTATTTAAGCAGAATAACAAAAAAAATTTAGTATCAATAACTTATAAAAATGATTATGCCTTATTTGCATAACTAATAGTAACAAACTTAAAAGAGCTTGACCTTTATGAACAAGAGTTCTTTATTCTATATAAAGCATATACTGCTTAGCTTAACTTAGAAACAAACAATAAAGAATAGACTGTTTATCAACTTTGATGATATATTCAAACTGCTTTATTTTATGTTTGTGGCAATTGTAAATTTTTAGACTGCTTTTTTGCTAACTGCCTTCAAAATATCTACAACCAATACTATTACAAAACTATATTGCTGTTTATTATTAATTACAAGCTTCTTGAAAAAAACTTGCAAGAATTGCCAAAGCTTTAAGCATTTTTATTGACAATGTTTTAAAAATATTTGTTATAAATGTAATTCTATAAAATATATTGCTGTTAATTGTCCTTTAGCTTCTTTTAAATACCAGAATTAAATTTATAATATAGATGCAATTCTAATAAAGTTAAAGTTATATAATAATACTTGTATAGCAATCATTATATTCATTATTGTTGCTATTGCAAAAATCATTAGAAATCAGAAAGTTTATAAAAATTAAATTAAGTTCTTGTTTGTAAAGGTTGTTATACTAATTTTTACTAAAGCTTTGATCAAAATAACTCTAGAAATCAATACTATTACATTCAAGATAAAAGATGTAGAACTTTGATAAAATGTAAATTATACAAACATGTTAAATTTAAAAAAAGAATGTATAATTTAGAAAGTATTATAAAAGAATTATCCCTTAGATTGTAATACAGGCAAATTTGTCTGCGTTAATTTTTTTAAAATTAATAAAATTT